GGCCCTTCCCGCGCGGGCAGCCCCGGCGGGCGGGCAGGGCCCCCCCGGCCGCCCCCCTGCAGGCTCCGAGATGATCGAGACCCAGGAGGACATTTACGTGGGCTCCATCGAGACCGACCGGGGCGTGCGGGAGCAGGTGCGCTTCTACGACACGCGGGGCCTGCGGGACGGCCTGGAGCTCCCCAAGCACTGCTTCTCCTGCACCGACGGCTACGTGCTGGTCTATAGCACCGACAGCAAGGAGTCCTTCAAGCGAGTGGAGCTCCTCAAGAAGGAGATTGACAAGTCCAAAGACAAGAAGGAGGTGGGTACCCGGGGGAGAGGAGCTGCGGAGTGGGACCGGCTCCCCTCCGTTAGGTTTGCATCCAGAGACTCTCCTTTTCTCTTGTCGTGAGAATGTGACGGGGTCCCTGCTCTGCAAGGCTCTCGACTGGAGCTGGCTGCTGGCCTGGGGCGTGTGTCTGAGTGCACAAGTGCTCAGGAGGCCCCTCCGCTTCGGGGCGGGTTTGAGACACAGACCCAGGCAGGAGGGGAGCGCTGGGGAATGGGGGGGCTTAAGACACCTTGGCACGGAGAGGGAATTGGCTGCAGGACTGGGCCGGCCTCCGGGGATCTTCGAGGCAGAGCCAGGCAGCACCGTTCAGCTCCGCATTTGGTACCTTCAGGGCTTCTTGTCACCCTTTTTTTGAACAGGTCACCATCGTGGTTCTGGGCAACAAGTGTGACCTGCAGGAGCAGCGCCGGGTGGACCACGACGCAGCCCAGCACTGGGCCAAGGGCGAGAAGGTGAAGCTGTGGGAGGTGTCCGTGGCCGACCGGCACACGCTGATCGAGCCCTTCATCTACCTGGCCAGCAAGATGACGCAGCCACAGAGCAAGTCTGCGTTCCCCCTGAGCCGCAAGAACAAGGGCAGCGGCTCCATGGATGGCTGAGCCTTGCTTTCCCTTCCCTTCCATTGCCACCTCCTCTTCCTCACCTCCCCGTTTCCCTTGCACATGCCTCCTGCCGAGCCTGCGGGAAGCACGGCGGCACGAGGAACGGGCGCCCCGGGGCTGGGGGTGCTCTCTGAGGACGCGAGAGGTGAGCCATCTCCTGCCCCAGGACAGGGGCTGCTCCCCTCCCTGCCCGGCCCTGCAGACGCTGGAGGTGCTGCAGGAAAGCCAGGGACCCCCGAGGGAGGCCCCCCCGCTCTCGGGGTGCAGGCTGGCGCACCCCAGGGTGCCGGAGGGGAGGCGCAGTGGCGGGTGGCAGCAGGTGGGGGTCAGCTCCTCTCCCCGGACCTGCCGTGGTTTGTATTTACCGATAGCGGGTGTGAAAAGCTGGGTGCTGGCCCAGCCGCTGTCGGGGCGGCTCTCCCGTGCCCCAGCCGGTTCTGCGGGGCTGCAGCATGCCCCGGCAGCATGCCCCGGCAGGTTGCCCCGGCAGGTTGCCCCTGGCCGGGCACTGCTCCCTGCTCCAGGGAACGCGCAGTGCGGAGCGGGGCAGGATGCTGGTGCTGAGGGCAGGTGGCCCACGGCCGCCCCGCTGCAGCCCCCCTCTCCTGGGAGCAGGCTCAGTCCTGACCTCGGAGAAGCGGGGACACACCTGCACCCCGCCGTGCTCGGGGCGCTCGCTGCCCCTCTCTCCTCTCAGAACCACCCCAAGTCAGGGAGGGGGTCCCAGCCCTGCCCAGCAGCACGTGTTCCCTTGGCTAGCCTGGATCTAGGAAAAAAAAAAGTGACGAGAAAGCCCTGGCTTGTTTATACTTGTTCCTTTTATTTACTGAGTAACACAATAAAGCGATGAGATTCGATTATCAAAATATTTTCCTTTTTTTTTTTTTTTTTTCCCCCAACAGCTATAGTACATCAAAAAAATATACAATGGACATTACAGGAGGGGTACTGGCCAAGTCCCTAGAGTCTGTTTATTCCGTTTTTGTGGGTTTTTTTTGTTTTTGAATCAAACCGTTCACATCACTCCAAGGTTATTTACAGAGGGGCACACGTTATTGAGCGCTACGGACTATGCCCTACTACCTAGTACAGCGGAGGCCAAGTCAGAGGCTGTAGATGCTTTGGACAGCGCAGGAGCGGGGGGCTGGAGGCGGCGGGAGAGGGAGCGTGTTCTTACGCAGCTCGTTGCAGAATTATTGTTATCAGAAGGAAATGGCTTTCGAGGGGTTAAAGTGCCAAGTGTAGGAGGACTCCACAGGTGATGGGAGCAGCCGCTGCTGGCCCCACGAACAGATTTTTTCAACCAGACTGCGGGGGAACGACCCACCAGTGCTGCTGGCACGGGTTGGGGAGGGGCACAGTGA